AAGAAGACATTTCACACTGTTTGCACAGCGGAGCGCAGGGAGCCATTGTAAGCCAGCCTAGCTTTTCTTATGCAAATGTGACACAAATTATGTTATTTTACATCCCAATCACGCAATGTTTATCTGCAGGGTTCGACAAGACCAGAGCCCGCCAACACCAAAGTCAGCGTGGCCGATATAACGTCGGACTCCAGCCGACGGGAGAGCTGGAACGATCAGCCGGTCCGTAACTCAGAGGGAACCAGGACTGAGGAATCTGGGTTAAGACGCACGTATTAATTTATATTCATGCCGTTCGTTAATTTGCCCGTGTATTTCAGCGGTGTACCCGACGCGCTTCACTGTGATTAACATAGTGTTCTGTGTTAGGCGACATGGGGCCCCGAAGAATGAGAACTTGCCTATTCATGTTTAATTGATGTTAATAAAAAATGCAGGGTTTCTTTTTCTTTCGTTTTTTTCTCTCTCTTCTTTTCCAGATGCAGAGCCTCACATGCTGTACTGTAAAACCTCACTCAAGGGGTCAGGATCAACTCCGGGGAGAGCTGGAATCTGTGGCAAAGAGAGATTTCACCTCATCGGCGTACACTGCCTCTGAGAGAATACATTACCGACGCGCTAAATATAACCGAGGATGCGACGGGAAACAAATTTTAAAACAAAAGCGACTGTTTTTCTGCTTGAAACAAAACAAAGACCCCCTCTCTCTAATTTTAAGAGGCAAAGGGAACAATGGATGCATTTGTATTCCGCTCACAAATTCATTAAGCATTAAATTATGCTGTACTCCTGATAATTTACATTTAAATGTTGTTTCCTTTGCGCCACCATGACTCAAGTTCTACTCTCAACCCTTAACTCTCCTGCCCTCAATGACCCTGCGGAGATGACGACCACTTCCTGTCTGTCCCCCGGCGTCCCTGGCTGCCTGCTCACCGCGCTCTGCAACCCAGTTGGAGCTGTAACAATGAGATAGCATTTCACTGATGGTGCTGCTGGGGTGGGGGGGAATTATAGGCTCAGAGAGTTATCAAAGGCTTAGTCGCTCTGATTTCTGGTGACCCGCCGTGGACGGCTGCCATCGCTCTGTGCCAGCGCGGAGACCTCCATCTCTGCTGCCGCGGTGGTAGCTGGCCACCAGGGGCCGTGTCACTTTAGGGGGGGGGGGGGGGGGGGGGGGGTCGTCCCATTGGCAGACATGATGGACAGGTATTATGGGTATTCAGTGAGGCCCCGTTAGATAAAAGGACTGGTGTTCGTCAGATAGTAGTACAAAGAGACACGAAAAAGATAAAATTGTGAAGATATAGGGAAACTCTAATTATTGGACTAATAAATACTGTCTATCAAAGTTCTTAAAACTACACTAATCATTATTTTCATTACAGCAATGGATCAGTTTAGCTAAGTAACGTTTAGCAACCAGGAGAGAGTCTTGAATTCCCTTCAGCTCTACAGGGCATTGTTTTGGTTTTGCAGCCTCTGACTTTTGGAGAATCAGCAGCAAAGCCCTGCTAAGACCACTGTATGCTACAAAAGACACAGTCAAAGTTAGAAGAGACCAACTGGTGAACATAGCGGAGTTATGGAGTTAAACAAGGTGGTTTTCAATTAAACTCACAGAATAGGGAGCAATATTAATCAGGCCGGATGTTAGCACGCTATCATTGTGCTCATGTTTACGTATAAGGGACCAGGAGAGGCTCCTCCTGATGATATCATTTCACGAGATTACATTTGTGTTTTCCCATCCCGGTTTCACAACAAATGTATGAGGCATTCTTCAAATGTCAGGGACCTTAAAGGGCAGCAGGAAGAGTTTGTATATCTTGGTAAACCACAGCCAATACATCCCACAGTATCGGATGAGCTAACAACCAATTAACTGAACTGTTTGGCAGCTCTTATCCCAGTTATGACGAACCCCAGTCCTGTGGCCTCCAGTAAACACCCCCCATCATCATTAAAATAAAATGCTGAGATTAGCTGGTTAACTTGGAGTTTATGTATGAATAATAACCCGCAGTGTGTGTCCTGAATGAATGGGGGCCAGGGCTCATAATCGGCAGCTTGGCATCCTCCGGCCCCTCATGGCTCCTGACCCTAACAGGAAGCAGCCGGCGAGAGCGCCGACTCCGGCCAGCCAATTAGAGCGCGGAGCAGGCCGAGGCTAACGAGCTCCCTCTCCGTGACCCTCCTCACCTCTGCAGGACCCCACGATGGGAAATATGAGGAGCCCCGAGCCACTTTAACCCCCACACCCACCCCCTTCCAACCGCTCTCTTTAGCCTCCTTCGTCTCCCCATCCCAACCTCTGGTCCCAAACCCTGCTGTGTGACCACAAGGTCTACAAACACATGCAGCCTCTCTCTCCAGAGTTCCACCACATGGCTTTTTTACTGCCGCGCTAATGCTAAAAAGCACCACACAGAGAAAAAACGAAACAATGAGCACGTACACACACACACACACACACACACACACACACACACACACACACACATTCTGGGGCACTTGCATTTCCCTGTAGTTTACTCTGGCCCGGTTCTAGGGGCTACTTTCCAAGTACTCTGAATAGTAAATGGGCTCCAAATTAATTGGCGGGGTTTGCGAGGCAATGAGATAATTCTGAGGCACTGTAATGAAGTGGGACCGCCGCAAACCCCGCTAAAGTGGCTTTGGGCACAATTGTTATTTATGTGCACAACACATCATCAATGAAGAGTGATGAATCCAAAGCTAACAATGCACCTGGTTGGGTTAACCTCAGCAGGTGGTGGGCGTTTCCGTCACACCGCCACATCTAAACCTAATGAAATTTTAAAAAAGAAAAAAGAAAAAGAGGGGAGCCAGTAATAATCATCTACGTCCAACACCCCCACTCCCCCTTTTTCTCCCCGAGGCAGAATTGGTCCCGTCATTTGGACCCTCCAAACACAGACCATATGTGGGTTCAGCCCCGGCAATCAGACTGCATTGTGGAGCAGGCGGCTGAGTTCATCAGGAAAAAATTAGCCCGCCACTCCGCAGGCCCTCGCTCCCATTGGCCAGTCACTCCGTTTGAGGGCACCCCAGACATTCCTGCGGCTAATCTTTTCCATTCCTCCGCTCAGCTCGTCGAGGACAGACCAAATCACAGCACAAGGGCCCGCATTGTGAGGAGCCTTTTTTCAAAAAGCCCTGTTTTCAATGCTCTCTCTCTCTCTCTCTCCCTCCCTCCCCCTCCCCCTCTCTCTCTCCCTCTCCCCCCCTCATACACCACAATTCAAAAAGAAAAACTTAAAGAACAGAACGTTTTTCCTATCATGACTCTTTATTCTCATAACAAAAAACACACTCAGCTATTGCTTTTTTGGAATGATCTTGTGGGAAAATAGGTCCCCTGAACACTGCGTTTCTCACAGTCCCGTTCCAGTAAGAGTTTTTTTTTTAAAGCCCAAACAATGTAAAACCACCGAAACCGGAGCCGGGCCACATCAGTGCGCGGCCCGGAGTTCGGCAGATTGATGCTGAATACGGTTCCCCCCGGGGGAGAGGCTCGCAAGCCTTTTCCCGAAAACCTCCCGCTTGGTCACCGCTGCACGCCCTCCCCTTGTCATTGCGGCCTGCTTTGCGGCGGCTGGAACGCCGAGACTAGAGGACGACCGCGCACTCTGGGGGACACTGGTGGATTCATAGTAACACGTTCCATAATTAGAAGCCAGGGTTATTACAGGGTCTGTATTATATTACCCTTTCTCGAGAAGCACACTCTGCTCTTGGCTGTATTACCAAGAAAAGATAACAAAATCCTTTCTTTTTCGACACTTTCACTCCTCCTCCGTTTGCCCCTGGATCCGAGGTAGACAAAACAATCCAACGTGCCTTGTAACCCAGTGTGTTGCGGCTCTTAAAATAGCCACAACACAAAGGAGGACAACTTTTGACATAGTTACGGGCGAGACTACACTTCTAATCCAGATGCTCCTAATTGTCCAGGAAACGCGTCCGCCCTTACTGCAGGCTGTGACAGTAAAAAATGCTGCAATCAATCAAGATGGCTCAGTAAAATACACAAAAGACGGGGGGGGGGGGGGGGGGGGGGGGGGGGGG